ATTGCTTATATTACTTATTTTTTTAAGGTTTATTAATTTAAAATATGGGAATAAAGTTAATTTCACAATGTACTTGAAAACTTTGTTATATTAAATAGGTACATGAATTTAATAGAGAAAGAGTATTTGTTTCGAAATGTTATAAGTAAAGAGGATCGGTTCTACGGATCGTACTTTGAAAAAATTAAATATATCAATTTTGGACTACTTCATAAAATTTTATTTAATAGTAAGTTGTACACTAAGATTCGTTAGTAAAGTTATAAAAAGCAAATTAAATATTTTTTACAACAACATGAATTAATTTTGTTATTAGATTTCAATTAATTTTTTATCTTTAATTACAGCTTAAATTTAACAAAGTTATTGAAATAATTTTATAATTTAATATCTTAATTTCTTATTATAAAATATATAATTTTTATTACAACTTTTTTTGAAATAAATTTTCATTTAATCTTATTAATAACATTGCTGAAATATTTTTTTCACTTAAATTATATCTCTGCTTACTTATCACAGTAGAAAGGGCGCTAAAATCCTGCTACCTGTTCAAGAAAATATTTTCTTAATCTTTCGCGTTTTTTAATGAATGTTAGATACTCTACCTATGTGAATACATATTTCTGGAGAAGAAAAATATCTATTTGTGGCCCTCCCGTATTATCTTTTTTAAACTGTTGCAAAATTTATTAAACAAATACACCAATACCAATACCTGCTACCTGTTCAAAAAAAATATTTTCCTAATCTTTCATATTTTTTGGGCATAAAAAAATCTTCCTAAAATATGTTTTTATTTTTTTTAAACTGGTGCAAAACTTTCCAAACAAATACTTTAAGTTCACTTACTATATTTGCATTTAAAAATGCACAAAGTAATATACAAAAAACTAATATTTTAAGTTAAAATACAAATAAGGTTACGACAGTTATAATTTTTAGTTTACATTAATTAACAAAAATAATTATTTTAAATATTTGTTAATTTATGCAATTTTTAACATAAATTACGATCCCAACGAACGCAAATATCAATTTTTTTCAAAATTTGCAACAAAATAATATTTTCTATTTCAAACAAAATTGTGAAGTTCCTGTAATTTTTTCCACCCTTGGGTGCAAGCGCAAAATCGCACATTTGTGCACGTTTGTGCATCGCACATTTGTGCACGTTTGTGCATCGCACATTTGTGCACGTTTGTGCAGTCGCACATTTGTGCACATTTGTGCAAACGTAATATGAGCAGCACACTCGTGTGCAAAGAGAATTTTTTGTCGCACAGTGCGGTGCGAGCATAAAATTTTCTCGCACATCTGATTGTGCACATTTTTAAAAATCAGTCACACAGCACAAATGTGTGTGCACGAATCTGTGTGCACAATCATCGCTTTGTGCGATGTGAAATTTAAAATCGCACAACAAATTTGAGTGCGTGCATTTTTTTTCTTAACACCACAAATGTGCGTGTGCATATTTTAAAAATAATTTCCACTCGCACAGTGCAGTGTGCGATTTTGTGCACCACATTCCGAACTCTGAAATACAGTAACATGAATAAGCAGATGTCAATTTATTTTTATTTTGCAGAAAAAATATAAAAAATATAAGAGTCAACAATTGATTTTTCTATTTATGCATTAGAAGTATATTTAGAATGATGTATATTCCTATCTTAGAATTCATATTGTAAATGCTTTCCAAAACGAATTGCCCATAAACAAATATTCAACTATATATGAAGCCGAATTATTTGCCATCGAACCTGAAAAGAGAGAAAACTAGAGCAACAATCTAGTTAATATCTACTAGTGACTTTATATTCTATCAAAGTTTATTCAGAAATATTGGACAACGCTTCTCAATAAATTTGGACAAACCAACTGTATTATTTTGTGATAGAGCCTGGTTCGTAAAAGACTGGAAATAATTACAGAGCTAGGTATCTTCTCAAATAAGAAGGCTAAGAAGGCTAGTTAGTGGACACATAATGTATCAACGCTGGAAATACTCCCAATTTTATAACTACTACATATAAAATTCTGTAATGACTGGGAATACTCTAGAGGGTTAAGTAGAGAGGATAAGTAGAAAGAATATCAGATTATCTCATCGGTTTTCTGACAAAGTACTTTAGGTTGGGGTACTATATCAACAAAATGGGGGTATCAGAAACCAGTACTTTTGTAAAATAAATACTGAAACGTCTGAGCACATTCTCTGTGAATGCTTTTACTCGTATGTGGGGCAGACTAATTGCTATTTTGAATATTTGGAACAATAAAAACTGGTTAATGCTCAAGTTCATTAATGGTCTAATAATTGGTTAAAACTGTTAAGGTTAATATAATAGACCGTAATAGAACAATATACTCTATTTTTTTTAGTAAAAATGTATGCAAACGTAATATTTTAAAACAAACATTTTTTTTTTCAAAGGAATAAGTTCGTTTTTAATTATCTAAACTTTTTTCTGAGAATAAAATTTAACATTTTTCGGAATAACTTAACTTTTACGTTTCTCTGAATTGAGAAAAGAATACCCGAAATTGATTTACATTATTGCTTTTGAATGGTTTCAAAGTAGTTTAGAGTTGGTAGCATTCGACCTTGAGAGAGGTACTGAAACTCGTGCTTCAGTTCTATATAATATAGCTAAAACTAATTTGTTTTTTTTTTTTTAATAATTTCTCAGTGTGAAATAATTCCTAAAGATATAACTGAAGATTCATATATTTTGCAATATTTTGCATAGTAATCAGTGAGTCTGTGTCAACAATGACTTTTAAGTGTCCCAGTAGTACAATAAATCTAAAAAATGTTTAATAAAAAATTATTATTATTTATTTGTGTATGTATAAACATATAAAATATCTGTGTATATGCAGTATTTACAAAATTTAAGTTCACTAGTGTATGAATACCAGTACTTTAAGTAGCTGTGAACATATCACTCAAGTCAAGTGGACATATGTTAACAAAAAATAAAAATACTTATTTTTTGCATAAATAAAAATATATTTTTTAATACTGCAAAATGAAAAAGTCAAATCATAATTTGACAAAAAAAAAAAAATAAAAAAAGTTAACAAATAAATAAAAATAAGAAAACAAATCAATCAACCATTTCAAGTAAACACTTAAATCTCACCATACGAAAGACTCGGAAGGCTCAACTTCATATGAGTTTAATTTGCTGTGTATTTTTTAATATTGACTTGTTAAACTAAGGAAAGGTTCATGGATCTGATCGTACAACTAATTTAAATAATAGTAAATGCGTATGCATTGCCTACAATTTCCAACTTTATAGATAATTAAAGTTTATGACAATAACTTTGAAATGAAAGGAATATTACTGAGAGAATACCAAAATGTTTGTACAGAGAATTTTGGTTCGTCTTGGATTTTAAAAATTTTACCATTGAAATGTCGATATGTGTAATGTGAATTTCATATAAAAGAATTTATTGAATGTAGATTAGGACGAGAATAAATATCCTCTTTCAATAATATAGCAATTTTTTGCCTAAAAAATGAATTATTATAAGCTAAAATTCCATCATGTGTTTCTGGTGATCAAATATATTTAGAATCTTAAACAGTAATATAAAATAAAATTATTTTAACAACCCAGATGTAAGACATCCATATCAGCAACAAAACAACTTCAAATTTTTCAAAATGTCACACTTCGCAGAATAATGAGACCCTGAAGAGTTTTAACAAATTTCAATACACAAGAGATAGAATAGTTAAACTCTTTCATGAGAAAACATATCAATCAGTAAACACTTAAATTTCAACATTTGAAAGATTCGTACTAAAGAATTTTGTTCATGTTAACTCTTTTTCGAGTTAGTCAATCTGGGTACATTTACTCTTTAATAGCTGGGGGGTTTCTGCAGAGTTCCACCCTTCTGATTGACTAATTTATATATGGCTCAAAAAAATTCGTGATTATTCGTTGGTTGATCTAAGATCTGTTAGAGATTATTCTGATATTAGATGGTGCTAAGTAGGGCAGCCTGTCGGTTTTCACGAATAGCTTCCGGGCTTTGTATGAGATACGACTAAATTGTTTAAGAAAACAATCTCAAGGTGACACTGAAGCAACAGAATACTTATAAGAGAAATATTAATATAATACCTCAATACATAAAAAGAAGTAAGATTTCTATATGTAGATGTAGACACACTAACGTTAACATACCGTCATATGCAGTTCAAGTATAGTAATTTTTTTTTTAACTTTTGAAGTTAATTTTACTGCTTCAGATATACTATTTTAAATGTATTTCACTGCTTAGTAGGTTATAGGTAGGTCGAGATGATTAGCAAAATGTGAAATATGTGCATCAATCTGACCTTACAGTAAGATTCAATACTCGGAACTCATTTACAGAGACTATGTTAATGCTTCTGGGTTAACTACAATTTTTTAAGTCTACTGGTATATCGGAACTTTTACAGAAAAACTACACATTCCTTTTAACAATGATTATAGCAGTTGTGAAAATTTATATAAAAAAGAAACGAATATGTGATTGCCCACTTATGGTTTCCAGCAGGAGCAGTCTTTAAGGATTGATTATCTGTAAGCACAAAAACCTGTTCAACTACATAAGCTTTATACGAGGGTTGTAGTGTTGTTCGTCAAGGTTTCTTGCGATAAATTTGGTTTTAGAACGACGACTTATCGCTACTTATAGAAAGCGGTGAAAAGTATCTGCTCACCAAATAATTTCAAATCAACTCTATTGATTTTAGATGTTTGCAATATATTAAGCTATCTTTCACTATTCTCTCTTATTAGGATATTTGCATTCCTTTTTTTTCAATTCAAGTGTATTAACCTCTTAAAAAATTTTGGAAAAACATGCATCCCACGATTAATCAATTAATTTTTATAATTTGTTGCTCGCATTTTGCCGAATTCGTTTTTATTTTGAATTGTAAGAATAATTTGAATGTAAACAATATTTTGAAAAGTTTTTACCTTGACTTCATTACAAATCTCAAATCGTTTATCTTTAAGCACATGCTGCTCAAAACGTTTGGCCAGTTCGATATGATGTCTTATGTAGCTTTGTAATCCGGAAATACCATATGAGCGTAAGACAAACCTTAAAAGATATTAAGTTTTTTATAATGAGTTTTTTTAATATTTTTTAAAATAAAACTTAAGTGTTATTTTTAAATTTAAGATGCTTTTTGTTCACACTTCATAAATAACTATTAGTATTTTTTTGCTAATTATAATTATCGTTACTTGTATCTCAATCATTACTGTGGCTTATATTGTCTCTATTGTGCTCCAAGTGTCAAAACACAAACATACGCTTACATACGTTACTATATAACGTACCATAACTTTAATGAACGAAAACGCCGACTGAGTGGAACTCCCCAGTGACGGTAGTCAATAGCTGTTTCCGAATAACCATGTTTCAGATACAATGGATCCACAACCAAAGCTGATGTCAAGCGGATTCTGTCGCGCACCCACAAAGTCGAGCAATCGAAATTTGTTAACAGCCATTTATTGGAGTTTGTATTGAATGAATCAGCATATTCGATGCCCTGTTACGAGTTCACAGCAAAGTTGAACAGAAAGAAAGTTAAAACTTTTTATTATTTTTTTTGCATTTGTTTTTACGTAATTATTTTCAATTTTTTTTTGTTTTTTATACGGTAATTTAATTGTGCTTCACAATTTAAAGGTATATGACCTAGACTTACCTTAAGTAACGGCTTCAGCTCCGGGCAAATAAAAGCATTACCTGCATAAGCTCCATCTACATGCAACCAAACACAGGGAAATTTTTGTATTTCCTTTCCAATCTCTGGCAAATTATCAAAAGCGCATGAACCTGTTGTACCCAATGTTGTAGAAACATAAAAAGGTACTAAACCCTGGAGTTCATCTTCTTCCATAGCCTTTCAATAATCAAAGCAATAATTCTAAAAACTTTTTCTATAAATTCAATTGTTTTACTTCTGCTAAAACGTGTCCTCTAAGGCTAGCATTTTCATCGGGTTCCAAAATTCGCAGTTTAACAAAACATATCATAGCAGCCTTTTCAACACAACTATGTGCTTCCTTAGAACAGTATGCCATTAATTTAGATAGCAGATGACCCTCTTCTACAAATGGATGCTGCGATTTCAAACGTTTTAGTGCTTGAGCACGTGCCGCTAACATTGTTACTAGTATACATTCAGAAGCTGAGGTCTTTGAAAATAAATATGAGAGTGAAACAATCAATACAGATTGTAGTTAGGTTGTGGAATAGTACCTGTATCACTCCACCACCTGTGCTACCTTCTTTCAAAGCTAAAAAATGATCAGGCAAACCGATTGCTTTGCCTTAGATATAACAGACATATTTTTAACATATTCAATATTTATGTATTAAGTAAATATTTTGCTTACCTAACCAATCAAGTACAATTGTTTCGAGCTCTGTACAAGCAGGACTTGCAGCCCATGAAAATCCAATACAACCAATACCATCACTAAGCATATCACCTAAAATAGATGGAAATGAATTTCCCGAGGGAAAATATGCATGAAATCGTGGATGTTGCCAATGTGTAACACCAGGCATTATTTTATCCTCAACATCAGCCATGATTTTATCCCAACATTCTGGATTTTTTGGAGCCTCCGCTTTAAGTAATAATATTAAAACATATTTCTTTTTAATATTACGATGGTTACATTAATATTATGAGTTTAAAACATAAATTGTATATATTTTTGAAAGACATCATATACAATGTGAGATTAAAAACAAACTATAATTTTTAACTTTTAAAAACAGTATTTATTTATTGATCAATTACTATATTTTCTCCAGTATATGTAGACTCCTTTTCGATTTTATGTACTTAAGCCACCGCAGTTTCTAGTTTAGGTTTTGTCTTGAGTTTGTTCTAAAAGTGTGTTCGCTCATATATAGTTGAAATATGTTGTCTTTTGGGAATAGATTGGTTGGGGTATTACAGTGATTATGATAAATCAGCATAAGCGGTTGACTAAGAAAACATTTTTCGAAACAAATTCATATCCAAAACAATTTAAAAAATCGCTTCCTACATAAGATTTTTGCAGCAAACTCTCTAATGGCAATTCTTATAGTTCAAATATACCTATATTGGTTAAAATGTTTTCTATATTTTTCTATTAGGTGGACCCAAACTTGCTTTATGTTCAGTTTTTTGTTAACCCTTCTGATGCATTTGTATTACTTCCTAAATCGTGGTTGGAATATTCTAACTTTTTAATCACACCAGATTCATTTACATTAAGACTGAAAAGTTTTCGGAAATTCTCATTTAAAATTCGCGCGCTGTATATTTTTCGATATTTTAAGTTTATGTAGTTTGGCAGCACTGTCCTTAATTACTATGCCAAAAATGAGCTCGATCTGTCAGACAGTTCGTTTACGGCAGCTGTTGAAACCAGTTCACCTCAGTAGTGCGTTGCGAAATGTCTTCGACGGTCGTACGACCGTCCTGGAAGGCTTTGTACCACTCATAAACTTGAGTTTTCGATAAAACTGATTCCCCATAAGCCTTTTGTAGCATTCGCAACGATTCTGCACACGAAATTTCGTTCGAAACACAAAATTTGATGCAAACTCTTTGTTCAATATTTTTTTCCATTGTTTTTTTCGCAACGCCCTACTGAGGTGAACTGGTTTCAACAGCTGCCGTAAACGAACTGTCTGACAGATCGCGCTCATTTTTGGCATAGTAATTAAGGACAGTGCTGCCAAACTACATAAACTTAAAATATCGGAAAATATACAGCGCGCGAATTTTAAATGAGAATTTCCGAAAGCTTTTCGGTCTTAATGTATTAGGGTAAATAATAATATATATTACATATAACTTTTGAGAAACTGTTTACTAATATGCTGTAGATTTAAATGGTTTGGGGAAATAACTAAAAATCAATATATGATTATGATTAATTTTGATTCACATAAAGAAATTACATATATTAAAAATTAGTTATGTTGAAAATTTCCAAGTCGTGTTTTAAAAAAATTTATTTATCTTAGCGAAATACATTAGTATATATCGTATGTGATAAAGAAAATAAAGACTTGGCTTTAAGAAGCTATCGTACTCGAAACTGTAGTTTCTTAAGGATGACGTGGTTTATTTTCATAGTACCATATTTTTAATACTTCTTTTAGATAAAAAGACCTAATCTAATCGATGTATATTATTACACCGATGTAAATGTAAAACAATATTTAATTTTTTGAACTTTTTAAAAAGAATTCTTAATTGATTATTTTATGTATAATTTTACTTTTACTATATTACTTCGCATATTATAACTAAAAATGGTCATATTTAATTTATGTGTTTCCTTTGATTGTTATGTGAAAGTATTTCCTTCTTAATGATTCAATAATTTCAAACTAAAGTTTATAGTTATCAATTTAATATAAAAATCCAAATTTAAATTTCCTATTACTTACTTGGTAATAAATGTCTTAAATATCCTGGTTCAACACTTGGAGTAACCCGTCTATCCTCTAAGGTATCTAAGTATTTGCAGATGTATTCAACCATTTCGGTTCCGCGTTTTCGAAATTCCTCGCTATTCATTTCGATGATATATAATTAAGATGTTCCGTTTAAGATACTATTGCGTCTATTTTTAATTAATTATATAAATAAAAGTGATTAATTATTGTTTGGTTTAAAATTTTTATTTATTTATTTTTGCATTTAGTTTTTATGTTTGTTTATTATTATTATTTTTTTTTTTTGGTTAGTTTTTTCCACAAAAATGTAAAACTTTTTAAATAAATTTTACGAACTTTAGAACTCGTAGCTGTTTAAAACCCTTAAAATTAGTTGATCTATGAATAACCCCATAACAAAACTCTAATCGTTTTTTTTGTTTTTTGTACGATATAATTATTATTACCCTAACATAATTTAACCAGTATTTGTATTATATTATATATACTTTTTATTTAATAAAATTTTAAAATAATAGAGTTTTCTATCAAATTTTAAAAATGTTTTTTTTTAATAACTAAATTAAATATATTTAATTTTATTGTCACAAAAAATTCCATATTCATATTATGTATTATATAAAATATTTATATGATTTATTGTTTATAAATATTAATATAATATAAATATTAATAGAAACTGAATAATAAATTAAACACAATTTTGTTGTATTTATAAACAGACAATTATATTATTATAAACTATATTTTTATAGAGAGTTATTGTTACAGATTACACTTATAAATAAAATAGATATGTTAGATATTATCATATTATTGACTATTTTTTAATACACTAATATTAAAAATTACCATAACATTGTATTAAATTATATATTATTAAGATTTATAACACATTATTAATTTCAAATGAAGCAAAAATAAATATGTAATCATGTGTTAATAACTAAAATTCTTAAAACAATAACATTTAAAAATAAAGTGTCAAAAAAAATAATAATAAGATTAAAGTAATAATTTAAAAAAATTCACAAAAAAAATTAACTAAAATAAATAATAAAATAAAGTAAAATATTTACAAAACAATGAAAAAAATTAACATAGCCAATATTTATTTTTATATCTTCCATAAATTTTAAAATTAACTTTAAGTTATGTTTATTTTTTATAATTAAAACATGTAGTTGTATATGGAAAATTTTTATTCATTACACAGTTCTTTTTTATTTTAATTTAATTTTAACTTTCAATTGTATTAAACTTTATTTTCAGTATTAAGAAAGTATATTTATTTAATTATTATATTTAAATTACATTTTATATATTAAAAATTAATGCATTTAAATGTATTTAAAATTTTAAATTGAGAAGAACTTTTAATTAAATTTTTATTTTTATTTTAGTAAAATAATTTTTTTATTATTGTTGTATTAAGTGTTTTTTTTTTATTTAACGTTCACTTTCAATTTTAAACATATATCATTTGGTTATAATATGAATATAATATAATTATATATTGTATTCACTTTTAATTTTAAACATATATCATTTGGTTATAATATGAATTCTTTAATATAATATAATTTTTATTATGTATAAATTTAGTTATTAAATATTAATAAATAAATAAAATTTGTTTTATTTAATATCAATTTATTTGCGGTATTAAAATTTTTTTTAAATTTTAATTATGATGTTCAAAGTTCAAATTTAAATTAAATATAGAGGGAGTCTTGTAAATTTTATTAAAATGTTTTAATGTATGATTAGTTTGTTCATGAAATTCATGAAATTATTCACTTAATTTTTTAAATCAAAATAAAAATTAATTTTTTCTATCTTATTTCATTTTATATATATTTTTCAATATTTTTTTGCAAGTCTAATTTTATAATGTTATAAGTAATAATTTAAAAATTAATTTTTTCTTTTTAAGATTCACTTTTATTTTAATTTACTAGAAATAATAACTTTTATTATTTATTACTTTTATTAGTAATTTTTTTCATACATTTTTTTACAAAATTAAAAAATCAAATTTTTCAAATTAAATTTTTTTATTTTTAATTTTTATTTTTAATTATTAATTTTAATTCTAACTAAAATTACTATATAGTTATGTTTAAGGTACCCTACTAAATTTTTTTCTGTTTAAGTTATTTGTAAAATTTTATAATATTTTTATTATTGTTCTACATTTATGTGGCTTTAAATTTAACATTAAAATTATATATAGTTTATGAGTTTACATTTGAAATAACTAAAATATTTTATGATTATTTTTTATTTCTTTTTTGTTTAGATTATCTTTACTGTAATTTGGTTTATAAAATTACTTTAAATATGTTTAATACACTCGTTCAAGCACATTTTCTTCGATTTTTTCCTTGTTTTCTGTATATCCATTTTGTTTAAATTATATAAACATATTAAAATTATATTTAAATGTTATAAATATACGTATTTTTAATTTTTTCCATGCTCACGAGTTATTTTTAAATTAAAATTATTAATTAAATTTATTTTTAGTGTTAAAATTTTCATGTTATTCATTAATCACGCATTTTATTTTTTAAATTTGATTTATTTCCATATATAAACTTACTGTTTTTAATTATATTTGGAGCAATAGGTCTAATTGAGACAATGTTTTAGCTCGGATAACCGTTTACAATGTAATTCCAACCGTAACTGATCTTTCACTGTCATTTCACTCATAAAATAACCTCGGTATTTGTATGTGTTGGAATTCGTAAAGGCATTTCTTAGTCCCACCATTCTTAACAAGTTTTCTAACTCCATAATCCCACTCCCAATTCCAACCACCCAATTATATTTTCACATTTGAACTTCTTCATCACTTGAAAAAGTCATTGCAAGAGAAAATAAGTGAAATATTTGCGTCGCTGCCACCTTCTGTTTTAATTTAGTTATATATATATATATATCTAAAGATGTGTATTTATCTATATTTGTAGAAATATATAAATAAGGAAATATAAATGTATGTCATATTTAACATTCATTCAACAATGCTTTATAGCACTGTTTGAAGTACGAGTTTTGTTAGGTCTTGAATAAAAGGAATCCACATTTTTCTCTACTTTTAAAGCTCGCCAGTATAATTTCGTATCCGTGAGGATATTTTTCACCAATAAAAAACAATCATCATAGTTGGCAAGCGCGTGAAGCACAAGCATCCTTGTTGCATTGTTAACAGTTATTAGGGGTAACTTATACTGGCTGGGAAGTATATAAGAAGAATATTTTGATGAAATTGTTTTTAAATAAATATCGTACAGTGCAAAAACAGTAAAATACAGTTGCTTCGAAATCTTAAATATATTTTTTCATTCAATTTTATTGCCTTATATAGTAAATAATAAAATAAATATAAATATCACGTTTACTAAATAAAACTAATATAATCTATAGTACGTAAACTTATTCGCTCCGTTTATGAAGGTTGGAGTAAACGTATTTCTATTGCTGGAAGAAAAAATAGTATTTTTATGACCTATATGCAGATGACCTATTAATTATGGACTTAGCAAAACAAACTTCTGTTATTAAAATACGGTTCAACAGTTGATGGCCTAAAAATCGACAAGACCAAAGTGAAAGTCACGTTATTTGACCGATTAAGTAATAGCTTACAAAATGTGGCAAAGAATATTGGCTACGTTGTAGTTTAACTGTGAAGTAGGCTCCCCCACTACCTTTACCAATGTTATAAGTCATTTCAGAGTTGCCTCTCTTTTTGTATCGACCTTTACGCAAATGATGGCAATTGTGAGATTGTTTGCAAACCAATTTTCTTCTATCTTATCCTAAAACTTAACTACATTTTGAGTGACTGACCGATGAGAAAAGTATATAACATTTGTTAACAATTGCATGATATCTTAAACTTAATATCAACATGAAATCCAATAACCTGAATTATAAAATTCAAAAGAAACTTAATTATTTATATATTACTGTCTTGAGATTTAAATCAAAAAATTATTTAAAGATTTGAGGAATTCACTTCCTACTATTTACTTGTTCCATTAAATGGAATATATAGTTCGAAACATTAATAATCAATAATAAAAATTCAATGATAATCCCAATTTCTTAATAGATCATTATTTATAACAGCCTACAGCCGGAACTTTCGAAAAAATTAAACGTCATATGCCCATGGCAATATTTGAAACAACGAAACATACAAAAAATTTGAAAAGCTAAAACGATCAGTACATCTATAAAGTTTTGATTAGTAAATGGAGTGGTGCTCTCTATGGCTACCTATGCAGTTAAAATGTGGACTAACAATAAATTCGATAAACAGAAGAGCGAAATCCTTGATATGTGGGTATATTGAATAGTGTTAAGAAATCCATTGAAATAAATCCAAAGTCCAATACATATCTGGTTTCTTTGATTAAATGACGAGACTAGTGTTTAGATGACAAGCCTAGTAAATTTTATGTTGGGTACAGTACATGAAAGTATAAAACTGGAAATATCGTTTATTCGATGAGTGCATAATTTATATATACATTGTTTAGAAAATCAATGAAGCAATATGCGTAAAGCAAAATCGTTCAAAATGGTCCACCGCATTCAATGATATGCATTGATGACTAGAACGCGAAGCGAATATAAGCAGAGGTTATAGCTATTGAAGTGGGCCTTATTTGGTAATAATCTCACTAAAAGTGTGGTCAAAATTAATTTTCATAATATAAAGAAAGCCCATGTGGCATTATCCCAATTCTACACACCTTAGAAAGAGTAATCACAATCACATTAAAATCTGTATTTTCATGAAAAATATTATAGTTATATATATCTGATTATTTAGAAAATAAATTCATGTTTTTCCTAAAAGAAGAATAAAATCTTAAATGTACACAAATTTGCATCAAAGCTGCATTTGTTGTTTTATATTTTGCCAAATGATATATTCTAACAAGATTTATTACTTATATAGTTTGTTCAGTTTCATGAAATAGTTTTTATTTGGCGCTTTATCAAATATTGCAAGATATTAGCACTACTATTCGATATATTTTGCTTTTTTATTATTCATGTTAATATCAATTATTGATGTAATATCAATACATGGTGGTGTTTGTGATGATCATTTGTAACATCTGAAG